GAGTGCTTAATTGAAATATTTCCTTTTTTCTCTTAAATTCCTTACATAAATTTCCTTTCCTTTCTCCAAATTTTGCTTGAAACTAATTCACACTGTTTCCTTGGAAGAGGAAATAACAAAAAAAAAACAAAATCTGTCGCACATTACACACAACACAACAGCTGCCGGTGCTTCGATGCTTCTTGGATCAATAAAAAAAAGTAATATCCCCCCCTGCAATTGGTTAGTAGTGAATTTGTGAATTAGTTTCGAAACTGATTCATTCTTTCTTGAAAAGTGTGTATTTATTATAATTATTACGCTTCTTATTTATTTTATTTTTTTATTAATTGAATTAATCTGTATTATTTTTTTTTGTTGTAGGTGCTCTAACAAAATTTACCAATTTTTGCAGCTTTTTACTTTGTTTTTTTAGATTTTGTTTACATATTTACCATTTATTTCGTTTCACAATTGTTTTCATCATTTATTTCGTCGCTTCTCTTTTCTTTTCTTTTTCATGCCTACCTTACAAAAAAAAAAACAACTCTACTACTACTACTACTTCTACCACTACCTGAAATTCGTGTTTTCTTGATTACTCTACTCGTCTATTTGCGATGTATTTCGTTGCATATTCGTCGATTTTCCGATCGAAAATTTTCTCTCTGTGTTGTCGTTGCTGTTTGTTTCGATCATCGAATTTTCTTTTAATTTTTGTATGCTGCTGATTAACAAAAACCCTGGTGTTGTCGTCTCTGTTTATTTTTGTTTATTGGGATCGTTGTTTACTTGTTTTTTTATTTCGTTGGTTTCGATAATATTACAAAAAATAATCGCATTTTTTTGGACGACGTTTTTGCGAATCGAACTTTTTAACCCACCGTCACCAAAAAAAAAAATGTACCTTCGTTCACGAAAATGGTTTTCTTTTCGTGCATTGTTTGGTATAAATTTTCTTTTTTTTTTACTTCGATTTTCAAATTATCATTTCAATTGGAAATTTTCAACAATTTTCTTTTTTTTTTGTCACAAAAATCATTTTATTTATTTCCTCTATATGTTTGTTTTCTCAATGTTCAATTCTGTTTTCAAAACTTTCACTTTGCTTCAATTATTTTCGATTTTTCTGTCTCCATTTTGATTTTTTGTCATCAATCAAATTTTTACTCATTTCTCAATTTTTTTTCTTCAAATTTTCAAAAAATTTCTTCCATTTTATTCAAATTAAAACTTTTGTTTTCTTAAAACAATTTTTGTTTCCTTCTTTTTTTTATATCAAACAATTCGTTTGTTTTCTTATAAATTTTTGCTATTATCAAATTCATTTTGTAAATTGTTGATTTGTAATTTTTTCGATTTTTTTTTCTAATTTTGAATCTACATTTCGATTGCTTTTTGTTTTACACTTTCTTTCTATTTTCCCACAAAATCGTGCTTTTTGTTAATCATTCGAAAATTTTCATCATTTCCACCACAAAAAAAATCACCAATTCCCAAATTTATCATCCATCTTATAAAACAACGCATCACCAAAAAAAAAAATGTACCTTCGTTCACGAAAATGGTAATCTTTTCGTGTATTGTTTGGTACAAATTTTCTTTTCTCTCTCCCTGCAAATTCAATTTTCAAATTATCATTTGAATTGAAATTTTTAACAATTTTTGTCACAAAAATCACTTTATTTATTTCCTCTATATCTTTGTTTTCTCATTGTTCAATTCTCTTTTCAAACTTTCCATTGGTTTGCTTCAATTATTTTCGATTTTCTGTCTCCATTTTGATCTTTTTGTCATCAATCAAATTATTTTCAATTTTTACTCATTTCTCAAATTTTCTCTTCGAATTTTCAAAAATTTCTATACAATATCGAAAAATTAAATTTTCTCAATTCAATTCAAATTAAAACATTTGTTATTCATTTTTTGTTTTCTTAAAACAACTTTTGTTTCCTTCTTTTCTGTATATCAAACAATTCGTTTGTTTTCTTACAAATTTTTGTTATTATCAAATTCATTTTCCAATTTTTTTTTTTATTTGTATCTACTTTTTGATTGCTTTTTGTTTTACACTTCTCTTACTTTGCTTACTACCTTTACTTATGCTTGTTTTCTTGTCTCTATCAACATTTCTCTCGATTTTCCCCCCAAAATTATGCTTTTTGTTAATCATTCAAAAAAATTCATCATTTTCACAAAAAAAAAAAACACCAATTCCCAAATTTCCTACCCCCTCATATGTATTTTATTTATTTATTTTTGTTATGTTTTTGTTTTGTTTGGGTGTACGGTGGGTTTTTCGTAAAAAAAAAACAAAAAAAAAACAAAAAAACTATTTTTTTGCTGTTATCGTAACGCTGATATTTTGGCTGCGATGACATTGGCTTGCTGCACTGCTGGTTTCTGCATGTCGCCGGCCCTAGACAATGGTGCGCCTGTGCCCCAAAACGCCCCTTTTGTGATCTACACTGATGAGCAAGGACAGGTATTCACTTCTAATTTAATTTACCTGTACGCTGTACTTATTATACCGACACACCATCACCGCCGCCGCCGTCGCTGATCTTCCATCATACCAAAAAAAAAAAAAATAAGATGCGACTCGACCGCTAGATGGCACTGCCCGACTTACCACCCCGAAAAAAAAAAGAAAAATTTTAAATAGCCCGCCTCTGTTTGTTTAGTGACGCCATCTGTTATCGCATTTAACCAAACTATTTAAAATAAACTAATAGGAGAGTAGGTACAGCTTACAAGTATATTAAACAGAGCAATGCACAATATTTCGCTTCTACTCGAACTTTCGTTTAATTATATAGTATAGAAAAATTTGGTTTTGGATTCGGGTTAATAATTTGTGAAAAAAACGCTTGAAACAAACAAAATCTTCACAACGCTCTTATAACCTAATTGTATTTCTCTTTGTATTTTTTTTTGGAAATCTTTATATATGTTTATACGACGTGCTTTCTCTCACTGTTTCTTGACGTCTCGCGCTTTAACTAAACTTAATCCACGCATGTTTCACGTATACACATATGTAGAAGCAACAGCAAGAAGAAAAACAAAGAGAAACAACCATAAATATTGTGCTCTGTTCGCTTTTTTTTTTACTTTATCGTTTATTTTTTTTTTAGTATATATTTTATAATTTACACTAGTAATTGCAATCATATTGTGTGACGCTATTAATTAATTTATTAACAAACATGCAACAAATTTATTAAAACAAAAAAAAACCTCATTATCTCACAAAAAACCAAAAACGACAATCTGTTTGCAGTTATTCGTTCCTACTTAGTCTAGTCGAATAGTTTATAGAAATTAGTTAGTGTTTTTTTCTATCTTCAACTTTTTTTTTTCTTTCATTTTAATTATTATTAGTTTTCATTGATTTTTTTTTGTGTTGTTATTATTATTATTATTAATTTTTTTTTTCTGTTTTCGTCGTAAATTATTTTTCGTAAAGCTTCGACGCTTTTTTTTATTTGATCGAACGTCAGTTTTTGAGTGACTACAGAAAACAACAACAGACCCTTGTTTTTTAAATTGATTTTATTTTGTCTAAATTTTAATTGACAGTAAGAAAAGAGAAAAAAAAAAAACGCTGATCTTAGTAGACTTTGTTCGCTTCTATTTCACTTGTTTCGAGAAAATTTGATCTGCTTAACGATTTTTGGCGTGTAATTTTTTTCAAACATTCTGCATGTTTATTTTCGCTCCCTTTTTTCTCTCTCTCGTAATTTTTTTTTGTCGAATTTCAAGCAAGAACTTAACGTTCTGTATTACACAATTATTATCGATTATTATTAACAAAAAAAAAACAACTCCCGCTTTAATATTTATTTTTTGGTTTTGGCGCATCTCTCATTTGTTTTTTACTTATATCGTTCCGCTTTTGTTTTCTCTTATCTATATATATATTTATATACATATTATATAACTTAGGGCTTCTCTCCATCACCGCCAGATGGAGAGCCTCGATGTATTTTTATTTTTTTTATGAGCTTACTTAGTTTTCGGTATTTTCTTTTCGTTTTTTTTTGTTCGTCATTGGCGCAGCGATGCAGAATGATTTGAAAAATCTTATCCCTCAAGTGTTTAGTCAATGAAATTAACGTGTTTTTGATGAAATGAAAACAAAAACCCCCCAAGTCCACCCCCAAGCCCAAACCAAAATACACACACGCACACGAAGTTAAAGTTTTTATTTTGATTAATCAATTAATTATTACGAATATTAACCAGCAAGTAATCTGTTTTGTTTAATTAAATTTGTTTTGTTTTCTTGTATTTTTAATCAACCCCTAAAAACAGCATGCGTTTTCTTTCAATTGTTTGTTTTTTTGTTTCTTTCATTTTTTTTTCTTATTTGGGATTTGCGTCACATATACATAGAAATCAATATCTAGTGCGCTTACGTATGCCTGGTTTCAAGATATTCTTTTGTTTTTTTTTTGGTTATTTTCTCTTTTTTTTTTTTGCCTCCGCATACATGCACCAACCCTCTCAGAATATTTTATATATGAAAAGAAAAACTATTAATCATCCCAAGTTTTTAGATTTGCATCCGAAACACGTTCAAAGATTAGATTTATTTTGTTTTTCTTTTACCGACATTTCTATCATATGTATCTCGAATCTTCATAATATAATAATTATAATAATAATAATCTATTGTTGTTTGTAGATCGTGTTTAATTATTTAATTTTTATTATGTTTTTTTTTTGAATAATTTTATTTACTGAATTTTTTTTTTCTTAGATTTTCTCTCTCATTTTTATTATTATTTTTTTAATTATTTTGTGTTGTTGTTTTAAAATCTCTGTTTTTTTTTTAAATTTATTTATTATTTTTTGTTGTTTTCTCTGTAATTTTATTTTTATTTTATTTATTTTTTGTTGTTTTGTTGTTGTTTTCTTTAGTGTGAAAACAAACACACACACACTTCTGTTTCTAATTTCGATGTTGGCCGAGGAGAGATTGTTTCTGACTGATTTTTCCCTGTTTGTTCTTTCAGTTACTGGACACCCTCCCGGTGTGCCAAGATTTTAATCGTGGCCTCTGTAACCGGCCGGCCTGCAAATTTGTGCATCTACAGGAAGGTAAGCAAATCAATTAATCAATCAATAAACAATTCTTTGTGTTAACCATATTCACCTAACGTTGAAGTTTCAATTGCGTGACTTCTGTCAATTGTACCAACTACTTTGACACATGACAGCTGTCAATTGCACCTATTGATTTGACATATGACAGTTATAGTTTACCAAGTATTTTGACACGTGACAGCTGTCCATTGTACCCATGACACATGATAGTTATTGTTTACCAACTAATTTGACACATGACAGCTATCCATTGTACCCATGACACATGATAGTTATCGTTTACCAACTATTTTGACACATGACAACTGTCATGTTCATTGTTTCAAAACAACTGAAAACATGGTAATTTGTGCGGTTGGAGTTTACGTTTTTATTAAGTTTTCAATAATTGTTGAATAAGATTTTTTTTTGTTATTAGTCATTACCATTACGACTCGACTAATAATATGACAGTTATCGTTTACCAACTACTTTGACACATGACAGCTGTCCAGTGTACGCATTAATTTGACACATGACAGTTATCGTTTACCAACTATTTTGACACATGACAGCTGTCATATTAATTGTTTCAAGACAACTGAAAATATGGTAATTTGCGCGATTGGAGATTACGGTTTTTATTAAGTTTTCAATAATTGTTGAATAAGATTTATTTATTATTAGTCATTACCATTACGACTCGACTAATAATATGACAGTTATCGTTTACCAACTACTTTGACACATGACAGCTGTCCAGTGTACGCATTAATTTGACACATGACAGTTAACGTTTACCAACTATTTTGACACATGACAGCTGTCATATTAATTCTTTCAAGACAACTGAAAATATGGTAAATTGTGCGGTTGGAGTTTACGTTTTTATTAAGTTTTCAATAATTGTTGAATAAGATTTTTTTTGTTATTAGTCATTACCATTACGACTCGACTAATAATATGACAGTTATCGTTTACGAACTACTTTGACACATGACAGCTGTCATGTTAATTATTTGAAAACAAATGAAAATATGGTAATTTGTGCGGTTGGAGTTATTAAGTTTTCAATAATTATTGTTTTTTGTTATTAGTCACCACTATTAAGACTCGACTAATAATTGTGATTGTTGCAATTAAGATTACTTTCGTTCTTAGTCATAAGTGTTATGAAGTACTTTTACTGTTGCGTCATGTATTTGAAGAAGTAAAAGTGCACGTAATTATCACGATTTTCTTGGGAATTCAATCTGAGAAGTACAAAAAAATAGTTACGGAAAAATTAGTTTTAAATTGGTCGATGAACTGTTGACCGTTTGTAACTTATGCAATTTTATTTCACAATTTTCATCGCAGATGTCGTTGACCGTTTTGCGCGGTTACGTAACGTATTCGACATTAAATTTCGTCGAAATGCACTTTGAAAAAGTGAAAGTTCTATTTCTCATATAATAATAATTATATTGAATAGCGTAAGATTTTCAAAGCGTTCTCAATTGAATATCTTCGACCTTTCACTAATGGCTCTGTTAACCTTTCCTAATGATTCACCTTTTTCTTCTGTTCTTTCTCTCTTGGTTACGATCATTATTTGTACATTACGTGAAAATTTAATTACGAATAGTGCATGTATAAAAGGCACAACTTTAATGATCGAATAATGTCGTGCTATTAATTTACAAATCACTTTAACGTTTTCATTATTTCTCGACATTTTAATATAATTAACATTAGAAACTTTCTTATAGTTATTTCAATTATTAATAACTTTATAATATTATAAGAATTTTTAGTAATTATAATAATGCTTTGGTAATTTTTTCCTTAGTAGGCGATTTTATCTATTTCGATAATTGATATTTTGTAATTTGCAAAAAAAAGTTAAGCAATTTGCTTAGAGGAAGTTATTTAAATGGGTTTCAATGAAAAAATGTTTTAGTAAAACGTCTTTATAACATACATATTCTAACATTGTCTGAAGTGTTGTAAAGTTTGTAATAAATACAAGAAAGTTAAGCAACGACAGTAGATAAAGTTATTTGAATGTATTGCAATTATATAGTTTTAGTAAAACGTCTCATTAACTAACTTTTTAAGATTGCTAGAACTGTTGTTAATAAACCAATTAATAGTCAAGAGTTAAGCAATGCGCATAATGGAAGTAATTTGAATAGGTTTTCATTAACTCACATTTTAATATTGTAAGAAGTGTTGCAAATACATAAATTAATACTCAAGAGTTAAGCAATGCGGTTAGTGGAAGTAATTTGAATGGGTTTCAGTTATAAATTAGATGATTTGTTTTAGAAAAACGTGTTAACAACACTCATTCTATCGTTGTGAGAAGGGATGTAAAGTTAAGCAATTTGCTTAGAGGAAGTTATTTGAATGGGTTTCAATGAAAAATTGTTTTAGTAAAAACGTCTTAATAACATACATATTTTAACATTGCCTGAAGTGATGTAAAGTTTGTAATAAATACAAGAAAGTTAAACAACGATAGTAGATAAAGTTATTTCAATGTGTTGCAATTATGTAGTATTAGTAAAAAGTCTCATTAACTAACTTTTTAACATTGCTAGAACTGTTGTAAATATACTAATTAATAGTCAAGAGTTAAGCAATGTACATAATGGAAGTTATTTGAATGGTTCAATTATAATTTTTTTTTTAGTAAAACATCTTAATAGAATAGAAAAAGTTAAGCAACGCATGTAGAATAAATTATTTGAATGGGTTTTTATTAACTCAGATTTTAATATTGTAAGAAGTGTTGTAAATACATAAATTAATACACAAGAGTTAAGCAATGCCCGTAGTGGAAATAATTTGAATGGGTTTTAGTTATAAATAGATGATTTGTTTTAGTAAAAACGTCTTAACAACACTCATTTTATTGTTGTCAGAAGGAATGTAAAGTTAAGCAATTTGCTTAGAGGAAGTTATTTGAATGGGTTTCAATGAAAAAATGTTTTAGTAAAACGTCTTATATTAACATTGCCTGTAGGGTTGTAAAGTTTGTAATAAATACAAGAAAGTTAAGCAACGACAGTAGATAAAGTTATTTGAATGTATTGCAATTATATAGTTTTAGTAAAACGTCTCATTAACTAACTTTTTAAGATTGCTAGAACTGTTGTTAATAAACCAATTAATAGTCAAGAGTTAAGCAATGCGCATAATGGAAGTAATTTGAATAGGTTTTCATTAACTCACATTTTAATATTGTAAAAAAGTGTTACAAATACATAAATTAATACTCAAGAGTTAAGCAATGTCCGTAGTGGAAATAATTTGAATGGGTTTTGATTATAAATTAGATGATTTGTTTTAGAAAAAAAACGTCTTAACAACACTCATACTTTAGTTGTCAAAATGGATATAAAGTTAATCAATTTGCTTAGAGGAAGTTATTTGAATGGGTTTTAATGAAAAATTGTTTTAGTAAGAACGTCTTAACAACACTCATTCAATCGTTGTCAGAAGGGGGGATGTAATAAAGCTCCCACTTTATATGAAAATATAATGCTGCTGCTGCTGCTGCGGCGTCTTTTGATGTATTAGCATTGGGATTGAGGAGGATCGAAGCCATCGCTGAAGGATATAACGTGTTATTAATCTTCGTGCGACTAGAGTGGAAGGAGGGTCGGATGGGAATCGATGAAAATTAATCAGAGGGTTAATAATCCGTGTAATAATGGAAAACGCGTATCCGATGCCATTAAGTTTCCTCACTTCCGGCACGCGTACTTCACTTTTTTTTTTTTGACATTTCCACTCTGGATCCATTTTTTTTTGGGGGTTGTTCGTTGCCCTTCGATAAATAACGAATATCAAGCCAACATAATAAAAAAAAAACACACACACAAAGTGTATATATTCAGGAGGGAAAACAAGGGAGGTCGCAAAGGTCGTCGAAGCCTTGGCATTATTTTATTTTTATGTTGTGTACGAAAGCCACCCTTCGGACTGCACGATGGCATTTCATCCCTTCGACCCAAATAAAACAGTGTTTGCGTGAGCGAGAGAGAGAGGCTAAGATATAAACGTGAAGAGGAAGGAGAGAGACGGGAAGAGATTGGGAGACGCACACGCACAGATAATAAATGGCATTGATAAATATTTTTAGCCGGTATTTCGAGACACGCTCCGCTTCTTAATGGTGTGTGTGTGTGTTTTTTTTTATGTTTGCTGGAGAGAAAAAGAAAATATAAAGTTTGTGTTGTGTACGTAAGTATGAGAGAGAGAAAGAGAGGAAAAAAAGTAAGTGTGCATTTGAGAGAAAGAGCGGAAACTGTTCTTCTTCGCGCGCGCTCCCATTCAAATTAATTTCCCGGCCACGTGGAGCTCGTAAAATGAGATTTTCCTCCACCATCTCGCGTGTTTTTCCTTCTTTTCTTTTTTTTTTCTTCCCTCGCGGCGAAAAAGGAAACGCGATAGTCGCGCGCCTCGCGTTATTCATTTATTTATCAGATGAGGAAAATAAACCTGAAAATTATTGCGCGAGAAGGAAAGAGATATGAAAGAAATACGGATGGATAGAGAAAGAAAATAAGGGTGGAAAAAGCGACAGGAAAATCATTTCCCTCTGCTCTTTTTTTTTCTTTCTCTCTCTTCATCTGCTTCAAGTCCAGAAGTTATAATTATATCAATTTCCATATTATTTTTTTTTGTGTGCAAAATATTGATTCCGATGTGCAATTTCAGTTTCATAATTACGTAAGAGACGACATCTGTGATGTAAATTTGATATTAAGTTACAGATTCACAACATTATTTACATTGGTTAAACTAGGAAATAGGAAATATTGGATTGTTTCTAACTACAGAAGTTAGTTAGTTAAATATTACAAAATCGTCAGTTATGATTCAATTTTGACAGAGTTATAGGAAATATTGGAATGTTTCTATCAGCAAAAGTTATTTAGTTAAATGTTAAAAAAGAGACACTTTTGATTCAATTTTGACAGAGTTATAGGAAATATTAGAATTTTTCTATCAACTAAAGTTAGTTAGTTAAAAATTACAAAAGAGACACTTATGATTCAATTTTGACAGAGTTATATTAAATATTGGAATGTTTCTATCAACAAAAGTTAGTTAGTTAAATATTACAAAAAAGACATTTTTAATTCAATTTTGACAGAATTATAGGAAATATTGGATTGTTTTCTATCAACAAAAGTTAGTTAGTTAAATGTTACAAAAGAGACACTTATGATTCAATTTTGACAGAGTTATAGGAAATATTGGAATTTTTCTATCAACCAAAGTTTTTAGTTAAATATTATAAAAATTACATTTTTTCAGATAATTATTCATAAATTTACTGTTAATTTTTATTCCTCAATCAATATGACAAAAGCGACACCTATTATTCAATTGTGACACTATAATTATTAACGTTGAACGAAATTCTCAACTAAGATTTTTGTTAGAATCGATTCATTCTCTTGTATTTATTTAACTTTAATTGCCGTATAAATTGAACAGCGTTAAAAACAACAGGTGAGAAAGAGAGAATGTGAGTAATTAGTAGAATCTAAAGGGCAATTAAAATCAATTTGAAGCACTGAACCTTCTCTCCTTCCCCCAGTTGGACGTTTAATCCGAGTGGCGCGTAGATAATAGACTTATTGCAGTAGCGAAATCAAGCTCGAATTGAAACAAGTATTATTAAAATCCAATTACGCGATCCGATTTTCATTCGCCTGCGGCACTTAAGGCCTTAGTGCCCCATAGAAATCAATTCACTTTAATTGGAAAGAACAGAACAGAAAAAAAAAGTAATAATGGTTAAAGAGAGAGAATCTAAACGATGTTGGAAGAGAAAATGGATTTTCAAACCGGAATCTGTATAAGTGCAGACTGATTGTTTCAAATAATCAAATTAATTATTGTTTGTAACCCGGCGAATCCACAGATTACATAAGTTTTTTTGCATTAAAAATGTTGTCTTTTTTTGAAATAAGCAATTTTGAAATGAAAATAGTTGTGAACACACAATATATTTAGTCTGTGGAGTAAATAAATTTTGTGAAGTTGAAAATTTAGTGATTTCGATGCGATTAATAATAGTGGAGTTGGACGCGGTCCACGCCGTTAAAATATTGACGATTCGGCGATGCGAGTTAATTTATTAACGCGACGTTACGAAATCTGAGCTCTGAATATTTCGCGCGAATGGATGGAAATAAAGTGCAAGTGCTCTCACGTCCTTTCCTCTTCTCTGCTTAGCTCACTGTGTCATCCAATAATGTTGCCAAATTCCCGCGAAAATAGAATGTGTAAATACGCTTTTAACAAGTCACCCACTAAAAAGTATGTGTGTTTTTCAAACTTTTCCTCTCTTTAAAATGAAAATTTTTAAAAAATCACGCATTTTTTTCTTCTATTTTCAACTGAAAACATTCTAAATTCGCCAAGTTCTGAAGGTTTTTCTCATGAAAGTTTCTAAATATATTCTAAATAACGTTGTTTGTTTATTAGTCTTGCGAAATTTATTAATAGTTTTTTTTTGTAATAACATACAAATTCCACAATATAAAATGTAAATACATTCTTTTAACAGCTTTGTAAAAGTTAAAAGCAAAAATTATTATGAGCAAAAAAAGTACTTATTAATTAGAAAATTGTGTAAATGTTAAGAATATCTTTGTGATTGAACATTTTTTTTTTAATTTTCTATGCAAATTATGAAGATTTGTTAATTTAAAACCAACTTTTTATTGTTAAAAATTAGTGTATTCTTTTCTGTTCAATTTATTTATCAATTAGAAATTGAACATGTTTTTTTAAATTTTCTATATAAAATATAAATATTTTTTCATCAATTTTTCAAACTTTGTTTCATAATTATTTGAATTATATTAAATGTCTGCATGAGAATTATTTTATTCATTAAAACCGCGCGCTCGTTATTATTTTACTCTCTCTTTTATAATTCTACTTTCTGCATGTTTTTATGTGCTCGAAATATCGTTATTATTTGTTTAAATTTTCACCATTTACCGGTTTATTTACGTTCCATTATTTTGTCAATATAAATATATAAGTTTTTTTTTATCGCAATCACACCGAAAATGCACATTTTCACGCGAACCATTTTATCCATATTTTTGTTATTTTCGCTTTAATTTTCATGTACAATAATTTAACTTTTAGAATACTTATTACAATATCTATAAACAGGTTACAAAACTTCATAATGTTACACAGTGAATGATGATGATGTTAATTGTATAATAATTTCACTCTTATTGTGAAGACGTGAAGATGATTACATTCTCGCTGCCAGAATGCAGCAACCTGTTGATTTTCGGTCTCGAGCATTTCGCTCTTTATATAATAATGCACTTTCTTCTCTGCACCACCGACCCAAAATTTGTATTTAATAGAGTCCAGTTCAAACCGCTGAAACCACTTTCAATTTACTATAATCTCGTAATCTTCATGCAAATCTAACTTAATTATATAATAATTCATTTATTTGTTAACTTTGTACATGAAATTAAATAGAAATGAATAGAAATTTCGGTTTACGAACAAAATTTCGCTTCTCGAATATTCTTATTTTTATCTTAAGCTTCATATAAAATTTCGACACTATTTTCATCGGTGATTTAATTTTCATCAAAGGTTTAACAATTTGGTGATTATTTAGGCAAAAATATAATATGTACTATTATTGTTAATAGTCGCAAGCCCGACAACCGAAATTTCGACGTTCGAAAATCTTGACTGTATCGAAATCCCGACAACCGAAATCCCGACTATGTCAAAATCCCGACTACCATAAAAATGTTATTGTAGAAATTTATAATAATAAAAGACACTGTCGGGATTTCGATATAGTTGGGATTATGGTAGTCGGGATTCTGACATAGTCGGGATTTCGTTTCGATAGTCGTTTCGTAAATTGAAGGTTAAGTTTATATATTTGACTGACATGTGTCACTATATGGCGACATGATTGATCATCAACTGACAGTTGCTATGGTTATATTTATTTTGTAACTAAGTTAGTAACAATAATATTTATTTTCAAAATTTGTCCCAAAAGTCGAAAAGTAATATAAATCTGTGTAGAATTGGAGTAAAGTTAAGTTGAATGTTGAATATTTCCTTCATACACGAAATGTATATACAATGAAGTCGTACAAGTCGAGAACTTACTGTATTTTATGGTACTATGACATAATATCAATAGGTGTATACCAATCGGAACACGTGCGACTCCAACCGTTACCATAGTTACGCTCTTGTCCAAGCTATTGAAACTTCAACAACGGTTGCCATGGTTACGCTTAGATTTTGTTATTATTATTATTATGTACTGCTTCTGCTGCTGTTGTTGTTACAATTACACTAATCTTTTCTTGTGTTGTTCCCTTTTTCTGTTTTGGTTTGTTTTTCAGGAGATGGGGTTGAAGTGGTGGAGCAGCGTGTGGCGGTGTGTCGCGACGCTGCGAAAGGGCAGTGCGCGCGCCCCGTCTGTAAATACTACCACATCCCCGTCGCACTGCCGCCCGCGCCCGTCATGGCCGCCCTTGCCTCCTACCTGCACTAGGTGTTACACAACGACTAAACAAACAACCGAACCGTTTTTTCTATATATACAATTATATTATATTCATCTACTATTATCTTATATATTGTCTATATACATATATTATTATTATTATTAATATTATTAATTAATTAATTCATTGATTGATTGATTGATCGTCTTTTGTACACGTGTACATAAATACACACACACAAACAAATAATTTGAAGAAGGAAAAAAATTGCAGATCAAAAAACAAATCTAACAAGTGTGTGTATATATTTATACACGTACGAGGGTACGAATAATTAACGTGTAAGTGAAAACCGGACAACAACAAAAAAAAAGTATATATATTTGATTAATTAACGTCGACGTCAACGTTTATATTTATATATGATGATTATAAAATAGTATACAACAAAAATAAATATATAGAGAAAATATATATGAATTATGTGTAATAAATCTATATATATATATATAAATATACATAATGAACAAAAAAAAAATATATATAATTAAACAACACGTATATATTATTATTATTATAGGAATATTTGATTACTATTAACTAATTATTATATATATTTATATAATGATGGAGATGTGAAAGTCATTATAAATGACGCGAAAGAAATGGAAACGATTTTGTTTGTTTTTTTTTTCCATATTATTTTCTTATTTATACATAATGAAACAAAGAAAACAAAACATTTGATTCGTTTGTTTTTTTTACGTTCACTAGAGGACTCTGTAATAGAAGAAGTTTTAGTGAAGCGCGAGTTTTATGAATTAAAACGAGAAATTATATTATTATTATTATTATATATATATATATATATATTGTAAAACTATTTAAAAGATGATGAAGAAAAACACTATATATTATCTTATTGATTAGAAGTGGAGGAAAGCCCTCAAGGGCTCACGCAGAGCCGCCCCCAAAAAGGATATTATTATTATTTTTTTCTAACAGGTGGCGCGCATTTTGTTTTGTTTGTTACTTTTATTCAAATGTTTTGTTTATTTTGATAATAATAATAGTAGAAGAAGAAAAAAAAAACAAAAGAAGAGAGAAATTGTAATCCTGCCCGCGATTTTACTATAATAATTATAAGTGAAATAAAATAAACTACAGAACAAAAAAAAACTATATATATATATTTGAATTATAAGAGATAATAATAATAAAAAAAAATAATGTTTACGAAATGCAAAGATTTCCGCTTCCGGTTCCGGTCTCGAACTGTGATTTCCCTTTTTCTATTTAACGTTTTTTTTTTTGTTCTCAAAGATCTGATTTATGTTATTTTTGTTTGTTGTGAAAAGAGAATCCACTTTCTGTCGTATTTCATTATAATAATTCAGTACGAGCGGATTTTTGTTAAAATCTAGTCAAAAGGAGGAAAAGAGAAACTATTTAAAAATTTTGCACATTTGATGCAGCAAACCGGAACGATGGATGGAAAGGAAAACTTTTGCCGAAGTTACACGAACACCGCAAACAAAAGCAAAAACCTTGTGAATCGCTTAAACTCGTTTTTTCTTCATTTGTTTCACTATACGTATATATCTATATATTTATTTGAAAGATGTTCCTTGAAAAGCATTTAGAATCGATGAAATTTAGTGATTATTATTTTATTTTATTTTTTGAAATTATGATTTGTTGTTGTTGTTTTTATTTGTGTAATTTAAGTTTTTTTGTTAAGAGGTCCGTCTGGTATTAAGGGGTTAAGATGGGGCTCTGGATGTGATATATTATTAAACAAAATATATATATTATATAGTGAACAGAACAAAAAAAAATTAAACCTAAAATACTAATACTGATGATTTATATCTATATATATATATGTACGAAATCAGGGGTGGTTTCTCGTGATTTGAGAGGAAAAAAGGACAAAGGACTAAAACCCGCGGAACACCACCCCGCTTCATTATATATGTATATTTATACTTGTAAATAGTTATTAAGGAATTTAAACAACCTAATTATATTAAACACACAAAAAAAAATCTTAATTAATTAAAACTGAAGGAAAAATCGCGAAAAAAAAAAAAAGAATCACGTAATCGAAGTGACATAAAAAAAAATATATATAATTATTATAAATATATTAGGATTTAACAAATTTTTTCCAACGTTGTTTTTTTTTTTCAGTGTTTTTGAAATCTTTGTACAATATTATTTGTTTTTTGTTAATACTTTTTTCTTTTTTTTTGTGAAATATGTGATTTTCTTATAATTCTTTTTTTTCCTGTTACAAAAGCCATTGATTATATACGATAATTGTGTTGATTTCACGCAAAAAAAACAATGTTTGTTTGTTTCATCGTTTCTAGTGTTCAGGACACGAAGAACGGAATCTTTCCCCCTATTTAATACCAAGAAGAGGATTTTCAAGAATTCGCAGCTTTTCGCTCGCTTCTTTTGAGCACTGATATTAAAGCTATCCTTTTCAACGTTATACAATCGTTAAATCAACTGATTGATGAAGATTTTTACTGCGATTTTTGAACGAGTTATGATGAATGTTAGACGAAAGTGTTATTTTTGTTGCATGTTTAGTCGACGTTCTTTCGCTAGATTTTAATCGAGTTTTATTGATAATCGAGTAGTCTCTTAGGTAGTTGATTGTTGATTAGCGCGATTTCAGTTACTTCACGCTGAATATTATTAAAAATATTAACAAACAAACATAAAAAAAAGTAATAATAAATAAGTAATTTCAAGATTTGAGTAAGAACTGCTTAGACCCGCCTGCTGCGTCCCCCCCTTCATTCTTCAAACTTATTCAATTTGTTTCAATTGTTTCGAAACACACGTGATCCCTGATTCTCGCTTAAGTTCACGATGAAAAATTAAAAAAAATAAAATAAATGAACGCTTCAAAAAAAATCAACAAAACGTAACTTCTTTCTTTCTATCAAATTAATTAAAAGTAAACGAATGAAATGAATAGAAAAATCAAAATTATTTTTTTGATATTATTCAGAAACATGGCTGTGCATAAAAAACAAAAACAAAAGCAACCATAAAATTTAATGAGAATTTCGAATTTCGCGCGCTTTTTTTTCTGAAACTATAGATTTTTGAAGCGAATCAATTAATTGACGGTATTAAGCAAATTTGATTGATTAATTAATTGAAAAAAAAAAATGAAACACAAGAAAGTTCCTAGACGAAACGAAAAACAGCAAACAGAGAAAGATGTTCGAGAAAAAAAAGCTTAAAACCAATTGTTTTTATAAAAAAAAAACAAAACAAAAAACACGTCCCTCGAAATCGGAATCACACAGCAGGCCAAGAAACAACCAAGAAAAACGAAAGATTTGGTTGTTCCGAGGGAAACGATCTGTACACTTTGAAAATACACACACACACAAAAATAATGATTATATAATAATAGACTTAAGATTAAAAGATGAGATCTAGTTGTTGTTATTGGAAACGGAAGATTACGGATGGAGATTAAACAAAAGAAAGAGACATATTTTTTAAGAAGCCATCGCGAAATTATTACCTGATAGAAGCAAAAAAACAATTGAGTATGCGTTTTTTGGATCTTCAATATTTTTTATTCACAAAAAAAACACAATTTCGCCCCCTCGATTTTTTTTTTCAATTAATTTTTTGAAACCCGAATATTTTTGTATCACAATAATTGCGTGTAAATAAGTTTAACTAATATTGTACGAATAATATAAATATATATATATAAAATACGATTGTAAGGGGATCTTTTTGTTTTTATTTGCTTATTTAAATAATTTTTTCTTTCAAACTTTGTACGCACCAATTTTTCTTTTTTTTTGATTATTTGTAAAATTTGTTCATGTTTCTCTCGATTAGTTTAATTATTGACGATTTCTGTTTCTGTAATATTTTTTATTATTATTATTATTATTAATTGTCAACAAACAATTTTGTGATATTTTTAGTAATGATTGTTATTTTTAAGTCACAAACATCACACTTTATTATTATTATATGATTTCATCTGCGAAACGGAAATATTTTTTATCACTATTATTATTACTACTTATTACATATATATTATATATAGGAATAACGAAAAAAAAAACCTATTGAAACTAAAAGTAAAATAAGATATGTTTGCATATATTGAATATATTATAATGTGAATGATGAAGTGTGGATGGAAACGCGGATTTCACGTGTCGGTTACTTAACTTAATTGATCCGCGATTTTCAACATAGTTTTTTTTTTTAATTTGTAATTTTTTTCCTCTTTGTTTCGTCTCCGTTTCTTTTCATTACTTAACTTTAACTTTACTTATTACAATGAATATATGTAATACAATAATCCTGTGAGTTGAGAGTTAAAGGCGAGTAAAGGTGGTTCAAGGACTAGGAGGAAACTGTTATAATTGATAATAATTGAAATAATATACAAATTATTTTTCGAGAAAAAAGATATAAAAAAAAAACATAATAAGGAAATAATGTATAAACAAAAAAAATAAGTATGTGAATTGAGTGATTGAGTGTGAATGATGAATCGAAGGTAAAAAAGTTGATGATGATGAAGAAATTGAAGTTGAAGAAAAAACAAATTATATATATATATTATAATGATGATATTTAAACTATTTATTAATTAATTAACGACGGAGGATGAAGCAAACCGAAGAAAATCGACGAAAAAAGTTAAACAAAAAAAAATAAAATAATAATTATTATTATAAAATTTGAAAAAAAAATAATAAATAAAATAATAAATAACTATGTGTAAATTATGAAAAATTATAATATAGGATATGCATGATGATGATGATTAATGATGTTTATTCTAATTGATGATGATATTATTATTATATTGAATAAAGGGATGGTTTTCTCCTAGTTATTGAATTTTTTCGAATTTATTTCACAAGTTTGTTTTTAGGTTTTAATACCCTACACCCCCCCTAACGAAACGAAATTTTACCCCCTTTGCGAACAATTTGAGGTGTGCCATGCATAAACATAATTATTTTCTTTTTGTATAACAAAAAAAAGTTGGGCGAATAAATCCGCCACTCGTCCGCAAAGTGTAAATTTAGTGTATTTTTAATACCACGCGATCCTTAACAATCGAGGCTGTTTATTTCTCTTTTATTTTTAATATACATTTATTAATTATTAACCAAATAAATGAACAACGAGTTTCTATTTTTTCTTTTTGTAATTATTTTATTATCATATTATCTGTGTTATTTCTATTATTTTAATTGTTTCTTGTGGAATTTTCTGTTAGTAATCGAATAACAAAAACACAAAAACAAATTGTATTCCCTCACGTTCCTTTGATTTTTTTTATTTTTTTGTTGTTGATGTATTGTATTTAACTCCGACGATATTTTCTTTTGTACGTTTCTTTTAGTTTTAACTTTTAACTTTATAAAATATAAATGAATGAGAAAAAGTATATATTATTATTATTAATATTAAAATATGACTAGTAGTTTAAGGATAAATATTTAAACAAACGAAAAAAAAAAAAGTATATATAATGTTGTGATGATGATCCTAGGATCAAAAGTGAAACGGAGATGGGTGACGTCTCCAAAATGTTTTTAATTTTTATTTTGAATTACTATTTTTTTTTATTTTGTTCTTAATACACTAGAGTTAATAAATATATAATGAAGAAAAACTTTAACTGTGCATTTATTTACAACTTTATTTTGTTTCCTATACCTACTTAATTGTTTCCTTAATTCAATTGTTTTATTTATCAATGGTTGCTAGACTTAACCCTTACTTTTTTTTATAAAAACAAATGAAAATCTTAACTTTTAAATTTTTATTTGTACAATTATGAATATATCTTTTATTTCTAATTATTTCTCAATTTATGTCTTAGTACAATTATTCAAAATAATCTTTATATAATTAGAATCATCAAATTCCTAAATTACAATGATTATTTAAGAAAAAATGAAATTACTAATCAGAAATGGTGGATGCGCCAGGTTCCATGCACATAGTATTGCCTATCACTCACAAAACTAGTAGCGTTATGTAACTATGGTTGCATACATTAAAACTCCATTATTTGTTAAATTACTGAATATTCGTGATTCAGTATGGACATAAATCAATTATTTATTTATTTATTTTTATTTTTAGAATGTCACGTTCGGAATGGTTGGAATTCCTTCGGCGCGTTGAATAATTGATGACCGTTCGCATTTGCAGCGACGAATCTAATTATTGGAGATAACAGTACTTTATTGAATTCGCCGCATGCAAAATTAAATGCAGCGCAGTAATTTATTCATATTAAAGAACAATGGTATTATGATTATTTAATGTAACAATTCTAATAGTCTTTCGATGGAAATTTTTTGTATTTTAATTGATTAATTAAAACATTTTTTTACTTCAACTTTGACAATAAATTACAGGAATACCGTAAATCTCTTAGAAATGTTATTGTATTTTTATTATTCGTTATATTTTTAGCTTTAATTAACATGTTTAATATATCTTCTATCTGTATAGGTTCTCGAGAAATTTAATAAAATGGAAATGAACTAATTTTTACATTATTTTAATTTTGACAATTAATTACGAAATTATCATAAGTCTTATAGAAATTTCGTTATACTACAATTATTCCCTATAATTTTAGCTTTAATTAGCATATTCAATTTGAATTCTACCTTTATTGATTGTCGAGATATCAATGAAAATGTGAAGGCACTGCTTTGTATTTTAATTGATTCATTAACATTTTTTTACTTCAACTTTGACAATAAATTACAGAAATATCATACGTCCCTTTGAAATGCTATTGTATTTATATTATTCTTCATAATTTTAGCTTTAATTATCATATTTAATATATCTTCTATCTATATAGGTTCTCGAAAAATTTAATAAAATGTAAATGAACTAATTTTTACATTATTTTAATTTTGACAATTAATTACGAAATTATCATAAGTCTTATAGAAATTTAGTTATACTACAATTATTCCCTATATCTTCAGCTTTAATTAGCATATTCAATTTGAATTCTATCTTTATTGGTTGTCGAGATATCAATGAAATTGTAAAGGCATTGCTTTGTAATTTAATTGATTAATTAACATTTTCTACTTCAACTTTGACAATAAATTACAGGAATACCGTAAATTTCTTAGAAATGCTATTATATTTATATTATTCTTTATATTTTTAGCTTTAATTATCATGTTTAATATATCTTCTATCTGTCTAAGTTCTCGAGAAATTCAATGAAATGTAAATGAACTAGTTTTTACATAATTTGAATTTTGACAATTAATTACGAAATTATCATAAGTCTTATAGAAATGTAGTTATACTACAATTATTCCCTATATTTTTAGCTTTAATTAGCATATTCAATTTAAATTCTACCTTTATTGATTCTCGAGATATCAATGAAAATGTGAAAGCACTCCTTCTTAATTTTAAACATTAAATTACTTCATTTTTTTTAAAGTTTCTTAGCAATTTCATTGCAATCAAATTATTTCTATTATTGTTAGCTTCAATTAGAATATTTAATAAAAAATACACCTTTATCGCTTATGGAAATAATCAATAGAGATTACTTTTTTCGATTCTTAATTTTCAATAATACTTTATGTTTGACAATAAATTATAAAATTATCACAAGTCTCATAGAAATTCTTTTATGCTCTAATTATTTACTACAATCTTAGCTTTAATTAGCATATTTAACAAAAAAAAAACAATATTTTACTTGTTACTTTAAGTTTGATAATAAATTACTTGAGTATGAAAACGTACATATCAAAATCCATTATTACCAAATTATTCCACATATAATAATTATTTCAATAATACTTCATGTTTGACAATAAATTATAAAATTATCGCAAGTCTCATAGAAATTCTTTTATGCTCTAATTATTTACTACAATCTTAGCTATAATTAGCATGTTTAACAAAAAAATATATAATATTTATTACTTTAACTTTGATGATAAATTACTTGAGTATGAAAACTCACATATCAAAATTCATTATTATCAAATTATTCCACATATTATTAGCTTTAATATGCATATTTTATGTATATTCTATCTATAAAAGTTCACGAGATATACAAAGAAATGTGAAATCACTGTTTATTTCAACATATCATTCCTTTTTATCCCAATTATTTTTCGAGTAATTCAAAAAAGATTATACTCAAACTATTATTTGTAGTTTTAGCTTTAATACGAATCTGTAACTATCTGTTAAACTTTTTATTCTTATTTGAGAAATTTGAGAAAATATAATGATCAAAACAAATCATTGAAACTTTGAGTATTTCTTCAAATAATTGTAAATGTTTTGTAAATGGGAAATGGGAAATGGGAATGGTTAAATGAGAAGAAGTAAATATGTATACATACAAATTTATTGTTTTTGTTTTTCTTTAAATAAAAGAAAACCGCACGCACAGAATCTTAACGTTGAACAACCTCGCAGAACTCATTACAAACTTTTTCTTTTTTTATTGTCAGATTACGATTTTTCTTTCCTCATTCATTTTTTATTTATATAAAACAAACAAAATAACAAACAAAAAACAGGCTTTTGGCAAGGCATCATCATCATGACTACATTCGTAGAGAGACATTAAAAAACGCATAAATTAAGAGTGGTTGTCGCAAAGTGCCGTATATAAAAGTAGTAGGAATTATTACTATGTACAAAAGTCTTTCTATTAGATATTTTTTTTTCTTTAAGGATTCGGCGATGTAGATGTCGGTCGCTCGATGTCTCTTCTTAATTCAATTAATTAAACAAACAAAATAAAAGGTTTTGGGATTGGGAGGGTAGGAGGAATTAATAGAAAATAAAACTAAGGATTTAGATTCTAAAATTACTTCCTGACGGAGAAGCCGTCACCGGTGGGGTCGAGGATCCACGGGTAGTTGTTCGGGCATTCCATGCAGGTGAAGAGACGGAGGGTCTCACCAGGAAGTTCGCGGGTTTGGAGGGCGCAGGCGTTCGGAAGGGAGCAGTAGGGTTGTCCCTTGACGTCGCATTTTTCCTTCCATTCTTGGAAGTCGCGCAGACCGTTCAGTTCGGTGGGGTTCTGCATCCATTGGATGACCTGCAGGTTGGTCACGAAGTAGACGTCGTTACGAGCCAACATCTCCTCGATGAACTTGATCAGTTCCTCCCTGTACTCCTTCTTGCTCTTCAACCAGGAAGCGTGGAAGTTGAGGCCGAGCGGAGCGCGGTTGCTGTTGAAGTGACGGTTGAAGTTGTGACGGAGGAGACGTCCGAACTGTTCGCCGCTCTGGATGTTCGAGCAAGAGTCGACCATGTGACAACCGGGCAGAGATTCGTCGAAGGTTGGATCGTCTCTCCTGTCCAATTCGTTCATCACCATCTCCCAGACGGGATGGCTACGGCTGGGGCAGTTGTGAGCGTTACCGTTGCACTTGTGCGGCATCCTGAAGTACAGAGTGTAAGGCCAGATCGGCACGCGACCCAAAGACGCGGTGATGGAAGCATCGTACACGAAGAACTGATCGCTCATCATCTCGAACTGCTTGTTTCCTCCGACGCGCAGGTAAGGAGCGCGGACACCGATGATGGAACCGTCGGTGATGTTGGCGAATCTCTCAGCGATCAAACGGCCTCCGGCCATCTCAGCCAACCAATCATCGTAAGATCCTTGCGACCAGTAGTTCGGATCATCCTTATGAGTCAGAGAGAAAACGGAAATTTCGTGTCCGCGTCTGTGCAAATCCTGAACGGCCGAATAGTTGGTGTACTTGTGCGAGACGAAGAAAGTTCCCCTGATCTGGCAACCGTTCGGGTTAACCCTGTTTCCGTTGAAGATATCATCGTACAAATCGACGTTATCGATGTTAACAGCTCCGTTGAAGGAGAGCGTGATCATCTGAGGAACATTAACCGGCTCCAAATTGCCGGGAATCCTGGTACCATCAGCCGAGCAGAAGCAATCTGGCAAAACGCATTGCGTGGTATCGCAATCCGGAGCGCGATTTGGATCAGTCTCGACGGCTGCACAACAACAAAAATTTAGCAACAAATCAACAACAAAATCTTTAAAAGAACACTTACTGCAAGAGTTCTCGTCGGATTCGTCCTTGCAATCCGGTTTTCCGTTGCAGAAGAGATCCTTGTCCAAACATTCTCCGTTACCGCAGGAGAGTTTTCCTTCGGGGCAGACCGGTTCGTCGGTCTTGAAAATCGGGAGCACCTTTCTGGGTTCTGCGCAAAATTGACGATTAGAAAAATACAAGAAGCGACTTCGTAAGTAGTCTCAAGCAGAAAAAAAATCGGCAGAAAAAAAAATCATGTGTGGATGGATGGCTTATGTACACGCGCACTCGTCGGTATATGTGTAGAAAGTAGATATATATATATACACACACATAAAGTTGTTAAAAGGTGAGAATAAATAAATAAAGAAATTATTTACAAAAAGGATAATAAAAAAAAGTTGTTAGTAAAACATCCGTGGACCAGGGTTAGAGAAGCTTTGTTTTTTTTTTTAAAGATTTGAAGTAAAACTTAAATAATAAGCGTATTTGAAGAAGCGTGTGGACACAAAAAGAGAGAAGAAAGTGAAGGAATCTACTTTCTAAACCAATTATTAATAAACTATGTATTATTATTATTGTGTGTTTTGCGCGCGGAGTGTTTTAGCTCCGCGCATTCTCTCTCTCATTTTTGCTTATTGTTCCCTGCCCAAAATCTAACAAAATCCAAATCGATCAAAATTGTGTGTTGTGACCTCAAGCGCAATTGTTTTCGAGAAAATTTTGCTGTTTTTTCTTTTTTTGGTTCTTTGTTTTTTTGTTTTTTTTTTGAAAAGGCAGGGACTTACTCTCGAGCTTGTCACAGTTAGTGACTTTACCCTTCCAATCACAAGTCTGTTTATCGATGTCAAAAGCCAATCCACTGGGACATGTGATTTGTTTCAAACCGGATTTAGTACATCTGGCGTACGGGAAACGGAAACAGAAACAAACAGAAGGATGAGTTTTGATCGGTCTCATTAACCAAGAAATACTGAGGATATCTAAATCAGGATAATTTACAAAAAAAAAAAATTGAAGAAAAAAAATAATTTTTTGATAATTTGTGGGACAAATCTGTGGGACAAATTATGGACAATTTTATGAAAATGACAAAAATATTGAATTTTGAAAAATTTAGATATCGGTCACTATTCCTTCCGGGACTTACTCTCTATACTATCACAATTTTTCACGTTCGTTTTCCAATCGCACGTTTGACGATCGATGTCGAACGCCAGACCTGCTGGACAACGAACCGACGCTAATCGTGTCACACCACCGTTCTCTGAACTTTTATCGCACCTAGAGTCGTGATCAACGGAAATTTCATGGATTATTCAAGATCTCTCAATTAGATTGCATCAAGTTTAATTTGATTTGATTTGAGAATTAGAAATTGCATAATTTACCTGACTACGTCCCTGCAATCGCCTTCTGTGGATAACCTGAAGTACTCGTCGGCGGGTCTTCCGTCGCAAAGTTGCTCGGCGGTCGGGTCTCCTTCGACGGAGTCATCGTCTTGCGCGTACGCTGAGGAAATAACAACATTGAGATATTTTCGCTCGAGCAATTTGGGTCAATCGATCGAAAGTTTCTCTCTGATTGCATAATATGCAATTCTTTTGGATTCGATTTTGTAGACTTACCAGTTCCTAGGAGGAGCAGGGTGCACAGCCACAGGGTTTTGTTAGCCATGCTGAGGTTTCGAGCACTAGCCAAGAAGTGGAGGTAGGCCGGCTTTATATTTATACCGGGTCTCTCTTCAGGTGTCCGCTTCTGTTATGTCGACGAATATCGACCCCCCACCTCTCTGGTTATGTATCTCTTCAACTGTTTCGACCAATAACGGCGCCTACTGGTTTCACTTTCACCAAAGCCTCTGACGTCCACCACGAACACCTTTTGTGTTGGACGATGGAAAGAGAGAGAGGTAAAGCACTGAGAGAAGGGAGAGGAACCGAACGAAACTGCAAAATGCACGCAATACCAGACGACTGCTGGCTGACAACTGGCGATTTTCTCGATAGGTGACTCTACTTATATATTAATGGAATTATTATCGAAAAACCATCCCCGCCCTCCAACCACAATCATCACCAACATCAGCCCCACGCGAATCTGCCAAAAAAAAAAAAAAAACCTAGGTTCGTCTGCAGAAGTTATAAAAGCATCCAGAAGCTCGCAGAAAGAATCAAAGTCGCAGCGAGTTCGGATTTCTCGTTCACCTTGATTGCAACGAAACCTCACCTAACAACTTAAACAAGAAGTACATCACTACAATCATCATCATTAACTTTCTATTTTCTTGAAAATCAAATTTCCTTTGACTTTTCGTACAGTTTTTTTTTGCTTCTTTCAATACTTCAAGGCCAAAATTGTCGCAGCAACAGCTCAAGACATTTGCATACAGGGTGTGTCTGCCTGCCTGCCTGCCTGCCTCCACCTCTCCGATGCATTCAAGTATGTCGCATTCATTAAAACCGCGCGACGCGAAAGGCAAGACCAATGCTAAACGAAATCAAAACCATTTATTTCTTGTAAATCTCTTTGCACAGGGAAATCCGCAACTTCCTTCATCATCATCACCAACAATTCGTTTTTGAAATATTATTTCTCTCTCTTTCAGTCGGTGTTTTATTAACATTTAGCAATCTCTTCTTGACATTCAAAGCGACTGCATGCGCGGCCGGTTTCCAAGAAGCGGCGACGTTACGTAACGCTTCAAAATCCGACATCTTCTCAAACGAATACAAGAAAATTTAACATTATATTTTCAATAAAATTAATCAACAGTTATTCATAATGCATTCAAATATCGTAGAAAAGAAGTGTTGAATAGGTCAAGTTTCTTTTTTATGTCACTTCGATTTCACATTAAAGAAGTTTTTTTTTTTCTTAAATTTAATTCATTTGAAAATCAACATTTCTATATTAAAACTGAATATTTGACTAAAAAAAAAAACAGAAATTATGAATTTTACAAATTTGTAATTAAGTAATGGAAATAATCGTTGAAATCGGAAATAGATATTAAAACTTAAATGTATGTTGTTAATTTTTTGTTTTTAGAAAGCTGATGAATATTTGTGCGCTATTCGAAATTTCGCTTTCAAAAAAATTTTATTAACGATTTTTTAAGCGACAGAAATGCACAAAACCTTTACTTTTCACTGCATATTGAAAGTTTTTATACAGAAAAAAAGGATAATTGCATTGTAATTATGAGTCAATGGAAAATCCTTTCAGTTTTAACTAATTATGATGATTATTGTCGTTAATTTTTACAAATTTAGTGTATTCAAATTTGACAGCAAATTACAGGAAAATGGTGATAGTTACAATTATGGAAATAAACACATATTAAAACCTAAACATCTGAGATTAATTAGAGTACTCAAACTTGTAATTAGTGTTAGTGGTTCTCTAGATATTCAATAAAATGTCTAGTGTATTTATATTTTTTTTTACAGTTACTTTATTCAAATTTCACAGCGTATTACAGGAAAATGGTGATAGTTACAATTATGGAAATAAACACATATTAAAACCTAAATATCTGAGATTAATTAGAGTTCTCAAACTTGTAATTAGTATTAGTGGTTTTTTAGTTATTCAACAAAATGACTAGTGTTTCTACATTCTTTTTTACAGTTATTTTTTTCAAATTTAACAGCGTATTACAGGAAAATGGTGATAGTTACAATTCTGGAAATAAAGACATATTAAAACCTAAACATCTGAAATTAATTAGAGTATTCGAACTTGTAATTAGTGTTAGTGGTTCTCTAGTTATTCAACAAAATGTCTAGTGTCTTTACAATTATTTTATTCAAATTTAACAGAGTATTACAGGAAAATGATGATAGTTACAATTATGGCAATAAACACATATTAAAACCTGAAAATCTAAGATTAATTAGAGTATTCAAACTTGTAATTAGTATTAGTGGTTCTCTAGTTATTCAACAAAATGTCTAGTGTCTCTACATTTTTTTTTACAGTTATTTTATTCAAATTTGACAGCGTATTACAGGAAAATGATGATAGTTACAATTCTGGCAATAAACACATATTAAAACCTAAACATCTGAGATTAATTATAGTACTCAAACTTGTAATTAGTGTTAGTGGTTCTCTAGTTATTCAATAAAATGACTAGTGTCTTTACATTGTTTTTTACAGTTATTTTATTCAAATTTGACATAGTATTACAGGAAAATGGTGATAATTACAAGTCTGGAAATAAACACTTATTAAAACTTATACTTCTGAGATTAATTAGAGTACTCAAACTTGTAATTAGTGTTAGTGGTTCTCTGGTTATTCAACAAAATGTCTAGTGTCTTTACATTTTTTTTAATGTCAAATTTGACAACGTATTACAGGAAAACGGTAATAGGTACAATTATAACAATACACACGTATAAAGCCTGAATATCTGAGATTTATTAAAGTATTAAAACTTATAATTAGCCTTAGCGGTTCTAGAGTTATTGAACAAAATGTAAAGACCTTCACTTTTTATGAAATATTTCAACAACCGCTGCAGATATTTTCAAAAATCAAAATGCACTTTAATAATTCGATAAATTTCTATCATATTCATACAACGAAATAGAATAATAATGAAATTTCCAGGTTATTTACCTACTTAAACTACAAACTAAATAGAAAATTCGAATTTTCACATCAAATTGTGTTTCGTCAGTACAAGAAATCCATATAAAACGATTGAGGCTATTGCACTATCAAGAATTCGTTTTTAATTGTCAACCTAGCATTGGGTCTGTTTTCATTCCGAAACGAGGATTCTCTTGCGCTACTGAAAAGTAAAAAGAAAAAAACGAAGACACAAACAGAAACACTTCGCATTCCGATCACGTCGAGTTCGAGAATGAACCGAACCGCTTTTACGAATCAACAATTTCATTCGATTCAATTCAAATATTTAAAAAAATTAATAATATACATCTACAAGATCGCTTCCAAATGCATTCCAAATTAACAATTTACGTAAATTTTAAGAAAAAATCTTTCTAAAAAATATGATAATTTTTCCTGTTATAAAATGATTAAAAGAATGGGAGTATATGGTTATATACGTAGTCAATTTGCATATTTTCTACTATATGTTCTTTTTTTTTCGTTACTTCTCTGCATATTTACCGTTTTTGGATTATTACAACTTTTCAAATCCTCATCAACGATTTCTCCTTGATTATTTTGCATTTTTATTGATTTTTTTTTATTGTTACCTATTAGTTTTTTTTAAGTATAGACAAGTTACGAAATGAGTTTTAAGTATTTAGCGAGAAAGAGTTAAAAAAATTAAGAAGCAATTAATTAAGTTTAATCAATGATTAATAGAGAAATGTACAATTAGATTTGCATTTTCATTCAGTTTTTTTGTTTATTTTAATGACATTCTTTGTTTGTTGGTTTTCTTTTAATAATTTTGCAAGTTTTTAGCTAAAGAAACAAGTGTAAATTAAGTTTAATCATTGATTAAGAATTAGCGAAATTAATAGAGAAATGTACATTTAGATTTGCATTTTCATTCAGTTTTTTGTTTGTTTTAATGACATTTTTTAATAATTTTGTAATTTTTTAGTGACAGAAACAAATTTAAATTAAGTTTAATCATTGATTAAGAATTAGTGAAATTAACAGAGAAATGTACAATTAGCTTTGCATTTTCATTCAGTTTTTTGTTTGTTTTAATGACATTTTTTAATAATTTTATAGTGACAGAAACAAGTTTAAATTAAGTTTAATCATTGATTAAGAATTAGTGAAATTAATAGAGAAATGTACAATTAGATTTGCATTTTCATTCAGTTTTTGTGTTTATTTTAATGACATTCTTTGTTTGATGGTTTTCTTTTAATAATTTTGTAAGTTTTTAGCGACAGAAATACGTGTAAATTAAGTTTAATTATTGATTAAGAATTAGCGAAATTAATAGAGAAATGTACAATTAGATTTGCATTTTCATTCAGTTTTTTTTGTTTGTTTTAAGGACATTCTTTGTTTGTTGGTTTTCTTTTAATAATTTTATAAGTTTTTAGCGACAGAAACAAGTGTAAATTAAGTTTAATCATTGATTAAGAATTAGTGAAATTAATAGAGAAATGTACAATTAGATTTGCATTTTCATTCAGTTTTTTTTTGTTTATTTTAATGACATTCTTTGTTTGTTGGTTTTCTTTTAATGATTTTGTAATTTTTTAGTGACAGAAACAAGTATAAATTAAATTTAATCATTGATTAAGAATTATCGAAATTAATAGAGAAATGTACAATTAGATTTGCATTTTCATTCAGTTTTTTTGTTTATTTTAATGACATTCTTTGTTTGTTGGTTTTCTTTTAATAATTTTGTAAGTTTTTAGCGACAGAAACAAGTGTAAATAAAGTTTAATCATTGATTAACAATTAGCGAAATTAATAGAGAAATGTACTACAATTAGATTTGCATTTTCATTCAGTTTTTTTTGTTTGTTTTAATGACATTTTTTAATAATTTTGTAATTTTTTAGTGACAGAAACAAGTTTAAATTAAGATTAATCATTGATTAAGAATGAACGTAATGAATAGAGAAATGTACAATTAGATTTTGTACAGCTGTTCCATTCTTTGCACGTGGAAAGTGCTTGTTTGGATTTCGAACAGTGCCATCATTAGAAACTACTTAGTGGTAGTTGCTTTCTTTACGATTCTAAATAATGATCCAAGACGATCGCAGATTTCTCCAGAATATGCGTTTTTGCGTGATACAAAACTCCGAAACTGGATGCTGCAGGGTGGATATGGTGAAGGTCGAAAACGTATCGTGAGAGTAAAAGTTTCCTCAGTGAAATCCGAAAAAAAAAACAAGAAGTATAAAGATTTCAGACACCTTGACCTCAAAATATAATAAAGAAACAGATGATCGAGAAAACAAATCACTTTCTTCCGCATCGTAGGAAATTGAAAGATAGAAATTAGTATTATCATCACGAATCGTTTTTCCTTTATATATA